CTAGAACTAAGGAGAAACTTCCTGACAGTGAGAACAATTAACCAGTGGAACAACCTGCCTCCAGAAGCGGTGAATGCTCCAACACTGGAAGTTTTTAAGAAGAGACTGGACAGCCATTTGTCCGAAATGGTATAGGGTTTCCTGCCTGAGCAGGGGGTTGGACTAGATGACCTTCAAGGTCCCTTCCAACTTTACTGTTATTATTATTATTATTATTAGTTTGTTATACTTTGTCCTGTTAAAGAATATATTTTAAATTTCTGTTTTTCTTTCTATAACATAAGGTAATACTAATAGCACTGTTGAAGCCAGGGAAGTTGAAGCATGTCCATTTTTGTTTTTAAAATGTACATTTAATAAAATTTGTAAAAAATTAAAAAAAAAAGAATCTCCCCAATTCCCATTCTTGATGATCTATTTTCCTGGTTCAGCCTGCTGTGTGCAAGTCAGCAGAGTCATGAGTTAGACGGCCATTTTATTTTCACTTTGTGAAATGTCCCCAAAAGTGTGTGTGGTAGACAGGATAAGTATACATATTGCCCCTCACCAAGTTTGTGGAGAAATTTCTTTGGTTCTCAAGCATTCCTTCAATCCCATGAGAATCCTCCTCCAGATTCTACAGCAGGGGTCTGCAACCTTGACAACTTTTAAGACTTGGGAACTGAAGTCCACAAGTCTTAAAGTTGTCAAGGTTGCAGACCCCTGCTCTACAGCAGTGTTTTTCAACCTTGGCAACTGTAAGGTTTAAGTGGACTTTAACTGCCAGAATTCTCTATCTGTACTGGTGGGGGAATTCTGGGAAATGAAACCCACACTTCTTAAAGGTGCCAAGGTTGAGAAGCCCTGCTCAAGAGTCTACAATAGAGGTATTCCTCAACTTACCACCATAATTGAGCCCAAAATTTCTGTTGTTAAATGAGACATTTGTTAAATGAGACATTTTGCCCCATTTTAGGACTTTGCCTCAGTTGTTAAGTGAATCACTGCAGTTGATAAGTTAGTAAACCGGCTGTTAAATGAATCTGGCTTCCCCATTGAGTTTGCTTGTTAGAAGGTCGCGAAAGGTGATTACACAATCTTGGGACACAGCAACAGTCATAACTATGAGTCAGTTGCCAAGCATCTGAATTTTGATCACATGATCATGGGGATGCTGGAAAGGTTGTAACCGTGAAAAATGGTCATAAGTCACTTTTTACAGTGCTGTTGTAACTTTGAATGGTCATTAAGTGAACTGTTGTAAGTTGAGGACTACCTGTACTTTGGTAGGACTATTATTTGGCTGCAAAACTCTGCATCTGAACTCTGCTTCTCCTTTAACATTTTTCTGAACAGCTGTAGTTTGCTCCACCTCTCAAACCAGGAAATGAATTTACTATATAAGAGGTATTCCAAGTCTACCGTCATTTCCGAAGAAGTGACAGAAAGAGATTTTCACTTGGTAAGTTTAATTCACCCTCTTTATCCTTGTCTCCCTAGTTCCAGATTGGGGTGGGCCATGCCTTTGGTAGCCCAACTCACTTCGTTCCCTTGTGTCTTTTGTTTTGCCATCCTTTTTTCAAACTATCCATCTTTGAGTTAAGAAGTTTCCCAAAGGGCAGCATTATGAGTCGGGACGTATAAATAGTCCATTCTCAGTTAGTGAATGAAATTGACTTTCTCACCAATTACGTACAGTAGTAAGAAGGCTCGGGCTACGAGGAATGAGAGTTTTAGGGTGGATTTTTCTGGCCAACACGTGCAAAAAAAATATCTCCAAACCCGGAGCGTTTGTGTGGCTTTCTTTTTCACCCAGAAAAGCAAACCTGACATTCACGTCGTTCGGCAATGATTAACTCCCCACGTTGCGTGGCCAGCTCTTTAACTAGGTTTTCCCGTTAACTGCCAAAGAGGTATGAATTTACGGAGCGGGTGTGTCGTTTCCCCCCCCCCCCCCGAGGGCGCTGGTTGCTGAGTAAGCCAAGTTGAATTCTTGAAGGATTAAAGCGCCTTGCTGGGCTGGCGGCGAGGGGAGACGTTGCAGGCTTTCTTCAAGTCCTCCCGGTGAGAGAAAAGGGGAGAGTGACTCAGCAGGCATTCTTGCCGTGATTATTTTCTGGCAGATTTCTAAAATCCCATTGCTCTTCTCTTGCAAACGCAGCTTGGAAGACAAAATGGCGAACGAGTCGATTATCCGGATCCCTCCCTATCATTACATCCATGTCTTGGATCAGAACTCCAATGTCACCCGCGTGGAAATCGGGCCCAAGACCTACATCCGGCAGGATAATGAGAGGTGAGTCCCGGCAGAAAGAGGACCCTAACCGGGAAAAATAGTTGCACTGCAACCGCTAGGCGATGTGACGCCTCTCCCTTCCTTGGCAAAATAGTTGCCGGTCTTCCAAGCCCTCCTCGCCTGGCTCTAGCGGGGAGCACAACTCCGATTTGTCCAAAGTTTTGCAACAAAATAGACGTTTTCCATTCGCTCCTTTTAGTTTTCCCCCCAAACTTCCCGCAAGGGGGCAGTTGCCCAGTCTTCCTGCAGAGACCAAGAATTAGTCTGCAGGGGGAGCTGGAAAAGGGAAGAGGGGTGCCAAGTCTTTGCTGATTTTTTTTTCAGAGGTTGGGGTAAAGAAGCTACTGTTCTATATCAGGGGTAGGCAACCTTGGCTCTTTTATGACTCGTGGACTTCAATTCCCAGAATTCCTGAGCCAGCTATACCTATAGTTGGCTCAGGAATTCTGGGAGTTGAAGTCCGCGAGTCATAAAAGAGCCAAGGTTGCCTACCCCTGCTCTAAATCAAGGGAATCCAAACTTGGCAACTTTAAGACTTGTGGACTTCAACTCCCAGAATTTCTCAGCCAGCTGCTGGTTGGGGAATTTGGGGAGTTGAAATTCACAAGTCTTAAAGTTGCCAAGTTTGGAGACGCCTACTGTACATTTATTAAATTTATATGCCGCCCATCACACGGTCGGGCCACTTTGCAGAGGTAGAAACATTTACAACATTAACATAAAATTTGTGGACATGAAATAAGTTAGGAACGAGAATGCAAATACAGTAGTTAGTTACAATCAATCTTGTGTGGGGCTGGCAAACTAAATTCTGGATGGAGATCAATTCCTTTGAGGAAGTGAGGCTGCTGAGTTTAATTTCACTTGGTGCAAAGTTCCTTTACTTATCAAAGGGCAGTTTCAAAACTCATTGTTCTGGTTTCTTTATCTTGCTATTTTATCCTCACCTTTGGGCTATGGGTGACTGGATCCCTTAAGTCTCTTTCTGTTACGTTTATTGGTACTTTCTTTGCAGTCAGTTTGGCTGTTTGAGTAACACTTGTTACACCAGGATAAGCAAAGAGCAGCTTTTAGACCACCTGAGCCCTTGAAAGCTATTTTTGCAAGTTCTGATGATAATCCAAAGGTGCTTTTTCAAGAGGCAACTGGACTTCCTTGTTTTTCTTTGAAGGTGCTTCGCTTCTCATCTAAGAAGCTTCTTCAGCTCTGACTGGATGGTGGGGAATGGAAGGATGTATACTCCTTGCAGACAGCTGGTTCTTTGCATTCTTTTAGAATGCAAATGGCCTCAATGACTCTCAACTAAAGCTTCTTGGTTAGAAAGGAAACATCTTCAAAGAAAAACAAGGAAATCCAATTGCCTCTTAGAAAAGCACCTTTGGGTGCAGGCTTCAAGTATATAAAGGAATTAAAAAGAATTGCCACATCTTTCCAGAAAATCAGAGTAGAGCCTTCTGTCACAAGTTACATGGCTGAATCTACTGTTCCCCATCCCAAAAAGGTAGTCCACTGCAGACCTAGCCTGAACTTTCCAAACATCTCTCAAGAGTGTCACTCTGCCATGTTTTGCAAAATTTGGGTCAAATACGTAATACACGTTGTCCTTGACTTACAACCACAGTTGAGCCCAAAATTTCTTTTAAGTGAGTTTTGCACCATTTTATGAATTTTCTCGCCAAGTTGTTAATCATTATTAAGTTAATAACACAGATGTTAAGTGAATTTGGCTTCCCCATTGACTTGACTTGTCAGAACGTTGACCCCAGGACTCTGCGACCATTATAAATACATGTCAGTTGTCAAGCGTCAAATTTTGATCATGTGACTATGGGGATGCTGCAACAGTCATATGAGTGTGAAAAATGTCATAAGTCACTTTTTTCAGTGCTGTTGTAACTTCAATTGGTTACTAAAAGAACTGTTGTAAGTCGAGGACTACCTGTATGCCAAAACTTGAAGAAGTCAAGCATAAGGTCATCATCTTTAATCAGGAACCAAGACACCCAAGATCTTATTTCTCCCTTTCCATTTCCTCCACCTTACTAAACTTCTTTCCTACTTCAGGATCATATTAGCTCCAAAGAAGATGGTGATGGTTCCCCCACGACATTACTGCATCATCCTCAATCCAGTGGTTCATGAGACTGATGGGGCAGTCCATCTTGATGCTCTGGGGCAAGTCCGGCTCGCACATGCTGACTTGGAGATCAGAATGGCTCAGGACCCTTTCCCTTTATATCCAGGAGAGGAACTAAAACAGGTAAGGGTGTCTTTAATTTCTCCTCTCCTCAAATGGCGCGTAGTGAGTAATCCCTTGGCGATCTCTTGTAGCAAGGGCAGGGGAATGTATGAATTCCATGTTGTAAATTTCTACGTGTGGTGGAATGCCTAAGAGAAAGTGAGAACACAGAGAAAATAGACACTTAAGGGAGGTGACGGAACCATTACAGAAATGATTCTTGACTTCAGGGGAGCAGGAAGTGTGAGAAAGAGACTCAAAGAAATTCTGCCTTCATTACACTAAGTACTGGTAGTCCTCGATTTATTCATTTAGTGACGATTCGAAGTTACAACAGCACTGAAAAAAATGTCATGACCTTTTTTCATACTTGCGAACATTGCATTCCCTTTGTCATGTGATCAAAATTCGGGTGCTTGTCAACTGACTCTTATTTATGACGGATGCAGTGTCCCAGAATCATGTGATCACCTTTTGCGACCTTTTGACAAGCAAAACCAATGGGGAAACCAGATTCACTTAACTGTGTTATTAAATAACTGCAGTGATTCACTTAACAACTGTGGCAATAAAGGTCGTAAAATGGGGCACAACTCACTTCAGAGCTCTCTTGCTTAACAACAAAAATGTTGGGCTCAGTTGTGGTTGTAAGTTGAGGATTACATATATAAGTTGTGCTGGAGAATTACTTTGGTAAGTTTCAAGATTCTGTTTTTATACAGTTCAATTTTCTTGAAATTTTTGCTGTGTTCAATTTACTTGACCACTAAGAAAGATCTTTCCAGAAACCAAAAGGGATCTGGTTTCCTGCGTTTGCCATCCTCCCAAGGCTTGACTACTCCCTGAGGTTGCTTTTGTTACTAGCCCCTTTGTTCATCTGATTTTCTAGGATGTTACACCTTTACAAATTGTCTTGGCTAACACCGCCCTGCATTTGAAAGCCCTGCTGGACTTTGAAGATGGCCAAGGGGGCAAATATGTTGCTGGAGATGAATGGTTGTTTGAAGGACCTGGTAAGTGGCAATTGTCAAGAAAGGAAATGTTGCTTGGGAGGTGAGTGAGATGTATGGTCCTCTACATAGAATAGAATTCTTCATTGGCCAAGTGTGATTGGACACACAAGAAATTTGTCTCCGGTGCATAAGCTCTCACTATACATATAAGCAACACATGATAAATCATGATTATAATCATAAAATACATTCATCATAAATCATAAGACATAACACTCGGTGATAGTCATAGGATACTAAATATGTGGCTGAATTAGAGATCCCAATAGCCCCAATTAGCATAGCCAAATGTGGGGAGCCATAGATTCCACATCCCTGGAGGACACATGTAGATCTTTGCAGAGGATTATGGCTTCACTTCCCAGCATCTTTAGCTGAAACAAACGGATATGAAGAAAGGTGAAGAATTCTGAGATTCCACCAAGCTGTTGCCAGTCAAATAGGCAAAACTGAGTCAGATCCAATTGTGTTCCAGGGCTCCAGGAAACCTGGGGCCAAAATATTCCTTTGAATTCTCCCCTTTCTTGTCATTGCATCCTATATGAATGTAATTTTTTTCTCTATTTTTTATCCCAATTGAAATTAATGGCAAAAATGACAGCATTGGAAAAGGTCAGAATATGCTTTAAGTGAACAATTGTGGTATTAAAATGAAAACATGGATCCATCTGATTTTTCTTCCCCAAATACCACAGCGTATTTTACGAGGACTTCCCCTCTATGCACGGAACCAGAAAAATAGCTTCCATCCCTTTTCTTCCTGTGTGTTGGCTTGACTTGACCTAGTCAGAAGTTTGCACTCCTTTCCCATCCCTATCATAATTGAGATGGAGCCTAGCTAGCTCATCTACTAAACCACTGTCATTTCTAGGCACCTACATCCCACGAAAAGAGATTGAAATTGTGGAGACAATCCTGGCCACCATCATTCGTCCCAATCAAGCCATCAAACTTCAAGCACGGAAGGAATGCAAGGACAGAGAGGAGAACAAACGCGTGACAGGTATCTTTTGGTTTCCTGCCCACAATCCTATGAGAGGACAGCTTTTGAGTATGTGTGTGTGTGTATCTTGAGTTTCCAATTTCTTTTCGCTACAGGTGAGGAATGGATGGTGAAGAAGGTTGGGGCTTACTTGCCAGGTGTCTTTGAGGAAGTAGTTGACATTATTGATGCTGTCATTCTGACTGAGAAAGTAAGTGCAGCTTCTAATGGTAGATGGTGATTATGGGAAAGAGGTTATTGATTTAACTTTTCGAGGTCTTTGTTGCAAAGCCCAGGTTAAACTCTCCTTTGATTCTGAAGCTCCTTCATTTATGATCAGGCGCCCCATTGTACAGGCATACTATGACTGTCCTTGCCTAACAAATATGAAGAAGCTCCTTTTTAATAGCTAATTGGATTGAAAGATATATGGAAAGATTTTTGCCCATCACAGTCTTAGAGATTGTGTGAATTGCTCCGAAAGACAATCTCCTAGACTAGTTAGACAAAGACAGGAAGACCCAGGTTCTAATACCTTTTGAGTAGCACCATTCGCTCAGTGACTCTGGGGCCTTACACTATATAGGAGAATATTCCATGGGGAATGTTTGAACTGGAGACCAAGACGCATTGTATTGAAACACAAGTGGATTTATTGACGGCGCTGGAGGCAAGGCAGGCCTAAAGAAGGAGGGGTCTTGGTCCCATTTTGTATGCTTAAAATATATGTGTGGTTGGATTTGGCAAGGGTGGGGATTGATGGCCCTTTTATGACTTGTGGAGTTCAACTCCCAGAATTCCTGAGCCAGCCATAAAGGGGCTATCGTTCCTCACTTCTGGGATATGACATCAAGGTATTGGGTTGGGTATAGACAACAGCAGGTATTTGATTGGATAAAACACACACATTTCACAAAAGAAGTGGAGTAGTTAGGTAACTGGGGTAATGGTGCAGGACTACAAACACAATGGGGTTTTGAAGCAACAAGGAGGCATGAACCTCATTTCTTCCTGAGAGTTACTTTCTTTACTGTCCCAAAGCTGTACTGGTCTCCCAGTAAATCCTTTTCTAAATTTCCAGCTGTTCTTGGTTTCTGAATATTTTATGGCTGAAATTACCATTTTAGTTTCTCTGGGAAAGTATGTTTGGTTAGAGACTTTTAGTTTAGCCTTCCCAATACCTTAATACAAATTTAAAAGTCACTAAACTAATCTCTGATTATATGGAAATAACATCCATGGTCTTGCATTACTATTATTAGACTTTTATCCCACCTAAATTGATTGATTGATTGATAACTCAAGATGGCAAACACACCTAATGCTCTTTCATCCTGTTTTCCTCACAACAACAACCCTGTGAGGTGGGTTGGGCTGGCTTTCATGCCTAAGGTGGAACTAGAACTCACAGTCTCCTGGTTGCATGGTGGCTGGGGAATTCTAGGAATTGAAGTCCACACATCTTAATTTTGTCAAGTTTAAAAACACTGCACTACACCAGATAGACTGTCTTGTATGGATCTTGTGATCATTCCCTGCTTTGGAAGGCCTCTTTTCCTGAGGGTTGTTTTAAAAACCAATATGTTGCCAGATGCTGAAAGATTAGTCCCGTCCCACTGGCAACCAGAGGTGAAAGTTTGTAGACCAACATTTTCTGAAAGGATGCACAGTTACCATTGCTGCCTCATATTTGCATTCTTGTCTGTTTCTTAGCGAAATTTAATCAGAAGCAACATTTGGGGTGTGTGGCTTAAACCCTACACGTGTCATTTGTATGAAGAGTCAGGTTACTAACAATGTTAAATCATAAAAAGGAGGCTTTGCACTAATATACACACATATATATATTTCTGCCTCTTTTGCTCTTTGAAGAAAGCACTGCACCTCCAGGCCACTAAAACGTTTCGGGACTCTCAAGGTATCGTGAGGAAAACTGGAGAAGAGTGGTTGGTCACCATGGCAGAAACTGAAGCCCACATCCCTGATGTGTATGAGGAAGTGCTGGGCATTATTGACATCACCACCTTGAACAGTTGCCAGTATTGTGTAGTTTGTGACCCGATAGGCATAGATGGAAAACCTCAGCTTGGGCAGAAGAAGGTCATTAAGGTATGTATCTTTACCTCAAAATCATGAAGGACTCTAATGACATACAGGTAGCCCTTGACTTTAGGGCCACAACTGAGCCCAAAATTTCTGTTGCTAAGCGAGACAGTTATTAAATGAGTTTTGCCCCATTTTACGACCTTTCCTGCCACAATTGTTAAGTGAATCACTGTAGTTGTTAAGTTAAGAACATGTTCTAAGTCAGGGGTAGGCAATCTTGGCTCTTTTATGACTCATGGACTTCAACTCCCAGAATTCCTGAGCCAGCCATGCTGGCTCAGGAATTCTGGGAGTTGAAGTCCACAAGTCATAAAGAGCCAAGGTTGCCTATCCCTGTTGTAAGTGAATCTGGCTTCCCCATTGACTTTGCTTGTCAGAAGATCACAAAGAGTGATCACATGACTCCGGGACACTGCAACCATCATAAGGATGAATCAGTTGCCAAGCCTCTGAATTTTGGTCACGTGACCACAGGGATGCTGCAATGGTAGTAAGTGAGAAAAATGGTGATTAGTCACTTTTTTCAGTGCCATTGCAACTTGAAATGGTCACTAAATGAATGGTTGTAAGTCGAGGACTACCTGTACTGTTACCATTCAGCAGGGCAGCCTTAGGGATTATAACAGAACTTCTTAAAGCAGCCTCTCCTTCAAGAGAAGCTGGTCTGCATCTCCTACCTGGAGGCAGATTAGGAAGCTGGTGTTATAAAATACTTTTTTTAGATGCTATATCCATGATAAATGATTTGGGAAGTAACCTTGATAGTATCCACAGCTTTTGCTCTCTTAAACCGTGTTACTACAGAGAGCAGGAAAGCAATTGCCACTGAAGCAGATTTGGGCTATAAACATTGGGATAAACTTGCCAGAAATCATAGTTCTGATATTGTGCAATGACCGTTCAAAGTTATAATTGGACTTGAAAAAAGTTACGATCTGTCCCAAAAGTTAACAACCGTCGTACCACCCCTGTGATCATGTGATTCCATTTCAGGTGCTTGGCATCTGGCCCGCATTTACAACCACCTGGCGTGTCCTGCAACCACGTACTCGTGTTTTGTGACTTTTTTGCCATTTTGTGGCAAAAATCGCCCATTGGATAAGCTCGATTTTGACTTGCAACGGTGTGATTCATTTAATGACTGCGGTGTTTTGTTCAACAACAGTCATAAAAAGGCTCATAAAATCGAGCCTGAGCATGTGGTGACTCTGCTTGTGACCACAATAACTTACAAACAAAATTCCATGCTCAGTTGTGATGGTACATTGAAGACTACCTGTGTTAAGCTCTGTGTATTAAGCTCTGTTTTTCATTGGGGATACTTGAAATTGGCTGGTGACTTTTGGTGCCCTGAAACTCGGCCACATTGCAGGCAAATTTCAATAATGGGATTTTGGCTCATTTTGGGGAACTCAAAGGATGGGAGAGGCCTCTTGAAGACTCCTGTTCCTATTCTCTCTTTTAAACTCTCTCCAAGGTGCTAATTGTGGGTTGAAAAAAAATTGGCTACACTTTTTCTCATTATATAACTGTGTTACTGATCGGCCTTCTGCTGCCTTTTCCCCCAGCTTTTCAGATCTACCCATTTGTGTTTCAGCACCTCAGATGAGCAGTTACCACTTAGTATAATTAACAAGAAATGTAGACTTGAATTCTTTATATAATAGCTGTACCTTGTATGCATTCTTACATCTTTTTATTCTATGGGATTTTTGCATGCATTCTTCTGTTACCATTATAGGAACTGAGAATTTAAACGACCGAGACATAATTTTCAAATACTAAGATTTTCCTACGAGGCCTTCTTAGAATCTCCTAGCTCTCTTTCCTCTCTCTATTTTTTTTAATCTACTATATCTACCCTGAGTAGACTGCAAATGAGTGTCTATTTTGAACGTGCTCTAAAAAAGTAGTTAAAAATGATCCATTGTGTTCCTGGCTTGTTTGGTGAGGCTTTTACACAGTATATAAAATCCTATATATTTTATAATTCCATTTTTTCATCTGGTGGGATGCCCCCACCACCACACAGCCGCCATTTGCACAGGCAAGCTTCAATCAAGAAAAGTAATATACTGCTGGCTTTAGTCCATATCAGTTGCTCACCTTTCCCCTTCTGATTAATGTGTGTGACATGCTAAGTGATAACATTTGCCCAGCATTTCTGTGCTCAGAAGCTAAATAGGATTCAAACAATGCTTGAATAGAATTCTGGGCGTCCCACTAGGGAATCTTTGAGCTATACACTAAACGTGGAAATCAAAACAACATCCCAGAAAAAAAAGCAGTGGGGAACTAATTGTGTACTGCTGCCAAAATTGAGGGGCACAATGACTTAGCAGTTAAAGTTGCTGAGATTGTCAGCTGGAAAGCTGACAGCCTGGATTTGAGACCTGAGTGCTGTGTGATGGGTGAGCTCCCATTACTTGCCCAGGTCCTGCCAACCTAGAAGTTCAAAAGCATGCAAATGCAAGTAGATAAATAGGTATCACTTTGGTGGGAAAGTAACAGCATTCTGTGTGCCTCGGCATATAGCCATACTGGCCTCATGACCACGGAAGTGTCTTCAGACAACACTGGCTCCCTCAGCTAACATACAGAGATGAGCACTGCCCCTTAGAGTTGGACATGGCTGGGCAGGGGAAACCATTACCTTTACTTTTTACCTGCCAAGAAAACAATAGAGGCAGTTAATCATACCAGTGAAGTAGATTTTAGATTTCACCTTTTCTAGACCATAAGATCCAGGCCAGGGCAGATCTTAACTTCCCGTTAGTATGCATCTTTTATAGTATTTAAAGTTTTTATTGAAGTCCATGCATCTTAAAGTTGGTTGAGAAACACTGCACTACAGTTTCTGTTTCCAGGCTCAAAAATGGCAGACAACTTACCATTAATTTTTGGTGATAGGGATTGGAACTGGAGGATACCAGTCTGGTAATTAGCCAACATCAAATTGACCACTTTACAGTTTAATAAACAGAGTTAAGCTCCCCACAGACACTTTTTAAAACCAATGACTGACGATCATTCTTGAGTTTTCTCCAATTCTTGCTTCTCATTCTGCAGGGCGAGATATCATTTTTCCTACAGCCCGGAGAATGGTTGAAAGACGGGATCCAAGACATTTACATCCTATCTGAAGAAGATGGCCTCTTACTACGTGCAGTTCGCCCCATTGAAGACAAAAACGAGGTAGGACGTGCTGAGTCTCTGATGGCCAGGGAGGATGGATGGGTTGCTACAGGTAGATATGACGCTTCTTCTCCTTACTTTGTCTCTTACCCAGGACGACGAGGACATTCTGCGCAGGCCAGGTGACCGCTGGCTGATCCGAGGCCCTCTGGAGTACATACCCCCTGCGGAGGTCGAAGTGATGGAGCAACGCCATGCTATTCCCCTGGCTGAGAATGAAGGCATTTATGTCCGGGATATTAAGACAGGGAAGGTGAGTGGAATAGATCCAGCAGTGGTTACTGAAGAAGCACATCAATCTTTAGGAATGCAGACTTTTAGAGGTCAATTTTAGCAAAAAGACCGCAGTTCTCTAATGTGGGTCATTACATTATTTATTAACTGCTATTCAGACAAAGCTCAAACTCAAATTCCTTTCCTTGCAAATCACAGTGGTGTGAAAAGGATGGTTATTTTTTTCAATCCTCTTCCAGAATAAACCAAGGAGCAAGAATTTGGTTCCCTCCCACCTTGTATACTTCTTCTGGGCATTGGCCACTATGGCAAGGACAGAGATGGTTATAGGACAATATAAGTAAGATATCAATGAGACAACTTCAGTGAGCTTTGCTTGTCATGTAGGATCTAGTGCAGGGGTAGGCAGCCTTGGCTCTTTTATGACTTGTGGACTTCTTGAAATCCACAAGACATAAAAGGGCCAAGTTTGAAGACCCTTGGACTACAGTGAAGTCTCTGTTTTCCTAGAAGGAAGGAGCACATTTGGCAAGAGACAATACAGCCACTCCTTAGAATCTCCCCGGGGGGGGGTAATATCTCTTAGCGTGACAGTAGAACTGGTTTAGCAGGATTCCATCAACATGGTCTAAAGAATTGAACATGGGCTGGATAGTTCTGTGTTGTTCTTGGGCTGGGCCTGACAATGAGGTCCTAAGGTTAGATGAGTATGAATTGCTTCTGCATGACTTCTTTCCTACATTCACATTTTATTCTGTTTATACCAGTGTTTCTCAAAACTCTTTAAGGTGCATAAATTTCAATTCCCATAGTTCTCCAGCCTGGAATGTTGAGAAACACTGATTTGTAAAGGAGGAGGAAGATCTGAAATTCACACAAATGATCAGTTTGAGAGTCTGCACAATATGCTGGGGCCTAGACTCCATGTGGGGTCCGGACCCATTTTAGGAAGAGGTTTGAGATCTAAAGAATAACATTGTGCCCCTCCCCTCACTCCCCAAAAAACCCCTCAGAAATGCGCACACGAAAATCTGATAAATCTGTGAGCTACGGGTTGTCCTTGACTTACAACCATTCATTTAGTGACCATTCAAAATTACAACCACACTGCAAAAAGTGACTTATGATTGTTTTTCACAATCATAAAATGGTTGTTTTCCAACCATTGCAGCATCCCCATGGTCATGTGATCAAAATTTGGGCACTTGGCAACTGGCCTGTATTTATGACAGTTGCACTGTCCCGGAGTCATGTGACCACCATTTTTACTATCCTCAGCTGGCTTCCGACAAGCAAAGTCAATGGGGGAAGCCGGATTCACTTAATGACCACATGATTCACTTAATTGCAGTGATTCTCTTATATGATAGCAGCGTTCCAATATCTCAGGGGCTGCTCCAAAGAAGATGTTATTCTGTTGCTCTAGGTCTGGTAGGCAACCTTGGCTCTTTTATGACTCGTGGACTTCAACTCCCAGAATTCCTGAGCCAGCCATGCTGAGGGGAAAAGGAGAGTTTCCAAGCTGAGCCATGCTGGCTCAGGAATTCTGGGAGTTGAAGTCCACGAGTCATGAAAGAGCCAAGGTTGCCTACCCTTGTTCTAGATCATAAAATGGGGCAAAACGTACTTAACAACTGCCTTGCTTAGCAATGGAAATTTTGGGCTCAAATTTGGTCGTAAGTCAAGGATGTTAAAAGATTCATATGCCATCAAAAATGCCATCATGTTTTCTATTTCAATATATTTGAATGATTATAAATTTATTTTTATATATCAATATATGGGCAAAGGATGGGTGGGCTCTAGTTCCATTTTCAAAATACTGTAATAGCACCTCTCCTCCTCCTCTTCAAAAAAAACCAAAATCCAGGAAGCAAATAATGCCTCTACCTACTTCTGATTTGCAGGAAAATAATTTATCATTAATCTCCATTCAAGCTGAAATGAAAATAATAAGGGTCCAGAGCCTTCAAAAGGAACCTTTCACAGAAGGCTAGAAAGAAATATTCTAAACAATTGCTTGAAAATAGGCATTGTAAAAGAGTCTTGACAATGGGGAAAGGCAGGGCTGGATATTATCATCTTAAGCACTGTGCAAAATCTCATTTGTAACCTCACTTCTTCGTTGAAGAAAAACTCCTGCTTTGTGGTTTCTGAATTACCTTGATAGAATAACAGAATAACAGACTTGGAAGGGACCTTGGAAGTCTTCTAGTCCAATCCACTGCTCCGGCAGGAAATACTATACCATCCCAGACAAATGGTTGTCTAATCTATTCTTAAAAACATCCAGTGTTGGAGCACCCAAAACCTCTCAATGCAAATCACTCCACTGATTAATTGTATTAACGAACTGTCAGGAAAATTCTCCTTAGTTCTAGGTTGGTTCTCTCCTTGTTCTGTTAACTTAGTGCCAACTCTCAGCAGCCACATAGATAGATCTTCTCTAGGATGTGTCTCCAGCTTTGCTCCTGAGGTCCAGTGCAATTGTCCATTCATCTTGCTGCTGGTTATCCTCATCATTTGAGACTCTAGAAAGAGTACAGAGAAGAGCAACAAAGATGATTAGGGGACTGGAGGCTAAAACATATAAGGAACGGCTGCTGGAACTGGATATGTCTAGTTTAACGGAAAGAAGAACTAGGGGTGACATGATATAAGTGTTCCGATATCTCAGGGGCTGCCACAAAGAAGAGGGGGTCAAGTTATTCTCCAAAGCCCTGAGGGCAGGACAAGAAGCAACAGATGGAAACTAATCAAGGAGACAAGCAACCTAGAAAGAAGGAGAAACTTCCTGACAGTTAGAGCAATTAACCAGTGGAACAACTTGCCTCCAGAAGTGGTAAATGTTCCAACACTGAAAGTTTTTAAGAAGAGACTGGACAGCCATTTGTCTTAAATGGTATAGGGTTTCCTGCCTGAGCAGGGGGTTGGACTAGATGACCTCCAAGGTCCCTTCCAACTTTATTATTGTTGTTGTTGTTATTATTACTTTCCTCCTCCTTTCCCAGTTTAATGGACTTCTTAGGGAAATTGGATCTTTACGTAACTTGTCCAAAATACAATGGATTTGAGACTGGTCATTTGTGCTCTAGATTAATTTGTTTTATCGTCCATTTATTTGCTTTTGGGGCTATCCTCAGAAATCTTCTCCAGCACTGAAGTTCAAAAGGGTCAATACTTTTCTTGAAAATCCAACCTTCACTTCCATGCTGCTATAGGGAAAACAATTGCTAACATGGAGAGCATCCTTGTTCTTTCAGAGCCAATAGACAGAAACCTCCTTTTTGTAGTGCTTCTGAAATAAAAAAGATTTCTGGTGATGTTATGTATTTTTATGTTTTCTACCATTTCTCACTCTCTTCCAGATTAGGGCTGTGATTGGCCACTCTTACATGCTGTCTCAGGATGAGGAACTGTGGGAGAAACACCTGCCTGCCCACGTGGAGGATTTGTTGTCTACAGGCCGGGATCCTCTTCTTGATCGCTCCAAAGACAGCTCAGACAAGAGCGTTGTGTTGCCCCGTGATAAGACACGGGCTGTGTCTTACCGTGTCCCCCACAACGCGGCTGTGCAAGTTTACGACTACAAGGAGCGTAAATCCAGGTGAGAAAATTAGCCTACAGATAGTCCTTGACTGACCACAATTGAGCTCCACATTTGTGTCGTTAAGCAAGGCAGCTCCTAAGTGAATTTGCACCTCATTTTTGTGATCTTTTGCCACGGTTGTTAAGTGAGCATCTGCAGTTGTTAAAGTGAATCATGCAGTCCTTAAGCGAATCTAGTGTCCCTCATTGATTTTACTTGTCAGAAGCCGAGAAAGTTACAAATAGTAATCACATGACTCCGGGACAGTGAAACCGTCATAAATACATGCCAGCTTTTTGCCTGAATTTCGTAGCCCCAATGTCAAGTTTCGAAGCATGGGTTTTGCTGGTGCGACAAATATTGCTTCTCAGCTTGCCAACGAACATGGGGGGAGGGGAGAGGTTGGGAATGCAGACTTCAAAGATTAAGAAGCCAGACCGTGAGACTCAAGGACGTAACACCAGGTGTCTGGCCAGACCTAGAGATCCTTTCTCATAACAATATTTTTCTACTTGATTGGGCAATGTGATCTGACCCAGAGAAAGGAGGGAGAACTCAATGCTTTTACTATATGGGTTTGGGAGGGGTCTTGCCAGGGCTGGTTTTGCTTTCATTTGTGCCGAAGTGATGAACTCAATACAGTTTTACATTAAGAGATCGGAATGTCTCTGAGGTGTTTGCTTGGTTGGGTTCTTCAGTTGGAACCTTGGCATCCAAATTTGGTAATCTGGTCATTCTTTGATTTTGAGGTAAAGCTCAAGGAAGTGACCTTAAATTCCCTGTGGAATAAGAAATAAGCCTTGCCCATTCCAGACCTTAGACTTCAAGGAAAGTAGGCTGCTTGGTTGACTTTTAGAACTGCTGCTTTCTCATTTGTGATACAGTATTTTTCATTTATTTTTCATCTTTTATTCAAGAAGCATAAGATAACACATACTACTTGTCCCTTCTGGCCTTCTCCCATTTAATTTTGTGATGGCTAGCCCAGATAACCCAGTTAATTTCGCCCACTATTAATAGCCACATTATTGCACTTCACCGCAAGGCCTTAATGTGTTTTTTTCCCCCTCAGACTTAATTATTAGCAGTATATTTTAATAAGGGCACCAATTTGTGCTCTCAGCTCTGCAACTTTAACACGGAAAATTAAAGGTAAGACAGCCCTTTAAAGGTTTAATAAAGGGCTGCCATGTCTTTAATAAGATCTTCTCTTCACAAATTCAGTCTCTTGTGTTTCTTCCTGTGAGGCTGAGAAGTAGATATGTTGAGGTCTCTGATTCCTCCCTTTTCTCCCTACATTTTACTAAATTAGCACTCTTTTTCTAAAAGATTACAGATGTCCTTAATGCTGCTATGAAGTTAATATAATTATATTAAGTTGAGAATGAATTCATTATAACAGGGCTTTTCAACCAGTGGTACGGGTACCACCTGTGGTACATTGGCACCTGGCAGGTGGTGCGCGACCATCCTAGAAAAGTGGTAGTGGGGGAGGGGAATGAGCTGAACCGGAGGCAGCACCGCACAAGCCTGAGCGAGAGACGGCTGGAGCTGCAGGACTGTCAGGGCTCAGCAGAAGCACCAGGATCAGTGCCAGGCTCCAGCTGGAAAGCGGCACTGATCCTGGCACTTCTGCTGAGCCCAGAAGAAGCGCCAATCAGCTGGAATGTTGCAGCCTGTCCAGGGTCTTGTGATTTACATTCAGATGCTTGGCAACTGATTCATATTTATGACAGTCACAGTGTCCCAGGGTCATGTGAAGTGACCAAAACCTGCTGCAACCACCCATCAGACGGGGGGGATAAAAACCAAACACCCCCCCACCCCACCCCCGCTGCCAATCCTCAACAGAAATGCTCACAACAATGAAAACCTCGGACAGGAGGAAGAGCGCAGCCGGGCAGGCAGGCAGGTGTCTTGCTTGGCTTTGGCTTGGGGGGCACTTTTTTCAGTGCCACTGTAACTTCGAACAGTCAGTAAGCGAACTGTTGTCAGTCAAGGACTACCTGTACTTTATCACTTTTTTCCTTTTTTGGGGGGGTCATCAAGTTTTTGACACTTTGCTAGGCAACTGGTGGTGTTCGGATATTGTCATATCCTAAAAGTGGTACAATGGGTGAAAAGGTTGAAAATCCCTGCATTATAAGAGTCCCAGTGGATCAGAAAGAATAAAATTTAATGTACTGGTTAGAAGGAAATGATTTTGACAGAGAAGGAGTCCTTCAACAAATGAGACATGAAATATGAAAATAAGCATTACAAAAGAACTTTGGCCTTAGAGAAGATTTCATGCCATGTTAAATTGTTGGGTACCTGAATTTGGTGTGAGCTGATAAGTGATCCTTGAATTTGAGAGAGAATGCCTTTACTAGGGTTTTTTTTTCCCTTCTGAAAATACAAATTGATAAGTGATTCAGGCAAAGCAAAAAGCAGTTATTAAGGGGGGAGATGTCAAGTCTTTTTATAGGGTACAGAAATGAATGCAATACATACATTTGGTATGTGTGATACGTCAGAAAGCAAATGATCAAACAATAAAAGGTATTGATTACATGTGAGATTTGAACAACAGAAAACATTAATTCTAGATAAGATTCCACAAGTGGTAAATGTATGCGTTATATTACTCTTTCCCAGCTAAGGAAAGCTTCCCCTTGCAAGGATATTTGAGGACTTTCACAATATGGTCTCTATTGTTTGGTGTTGAAAAGACAAGTTTTTGCATACCAAAAGAAATGGCCCTGATCAAGAAGAAAAAAAGACATTTTCCTGAAGTTAAAAAAAAGTAGCCTAGACCAGAGATCCCCAACCTTTTGGGCACCAGGAACTGGTTCCATGGAGAGAGGTTTTTCTGTGGACCAGAGGGTGCGTGGTTTTGTCTGCTGCCTACATCCCGTGGATGGGGCTTTGCTTGTTTGTGCAGACCGGTTGTTGGTATGCCATGGCCCAGTACTGGTCTACGGACCAGTGGTTGGGGACCCCTGGCCTAGACCATCATGTTAAAAATGCTAACATCACTTTTTAAAATGTTAATAATACACTCCTTTTTTACAACCCTGTAATCCCTTAATTTGGGGTAGAATTGGGGAGATTGGATGGAGCTGAGCATTTACTGGTTGGATGCTGTTCCTGACACCATGCGGAATTTGCAGCAGGCTAATAATCAAAGCTAAAATTCCAGATAACAATATCAAATGCTGTTTGGAACCTCTGTGATTTAATACGATCTTCTCCTTCCTCCAGGGTGGTTTTTGGACCAGAACTAGTGCTACTGGGTCCAGATGAGCAATTCACAGTCCTGAGTCTCTCTGGGGGCCGACCCAAACGCCCCCACACCCGGCGTTCTCTATGTCTCCTCTTGGGGCCAGATTTCTGCACTGACATTATCACTATTGAAACAGCTGACCATGCCCGTCTCCAGCTCCAGCTGGCCTATAACTGGTGAGTGAAGGATAACTGGAGGGATTGAAAGTTGGCCCACGTCTTGATTAGAATGGGAGGATGGATCCCTTGCGTCATGTTCTGGTCTTTTAAAGATTGTAGAAGACCGTGGAGGTCTTCTCCAAATCCCTGCCCATGGCAGGAGTCCTCATACTGTCTCGGACAAATTGTTTTCCACTCTTTTCTCGAAAATCTCCAGCAATGGGGTATCTTCAACTCTGGGAGGCAGGCAAAATAGTTCTCACTGTCAGAAATTCTATGGGGTTTTTAGACCTTTGGATGGTTTGGTGTTTCTGTAGTACTTTTATCGTTGTATTTTGCAAGCCAGCAAGAGTCATAACGGATTGGGCCAGCTGATCAACAAAATAATAGTCGTCAACAATACAGTATTAATTTATTTAGGTTTCCTTCTATCTGTGTTTCGCTCACTATTTGCTGGAAGTGTTTTGCACTTGCATAATATTTCCTTACCTTGAAATGGAAGAAAGTGATGAGTATGTGTTGTTTTTTTTAAAAAAGTAAAGTGATTAAGTCTTTAAACAGTTCTACCAAGGGGATATAAAATCAGTTACTCCATTTAGCTATATCTATATAACAGTTACAAACCTTGGATGACTTTAAAAATACACTTTGGGGTCAGAAGTATATTTTTCAATTGAAAGTCATACGAGGCCATCTAGCTATTTAAGTTATCCTTAATATGTTTCAACTAGATCTTAAAGTTCCTTTTATTTGTAAATGTGATCTAATCCTCAGTATGGCATATGGCACATCTGCTTTATCAAATATATTTAATTGCCTTAATTCTCCATTCTGATTTTCTTGATGAACTATTTAAATCTCTGTTTTGAAAATATTTAAATATTCTCTGGGTGGTTGCATGACTCTAAGAGATGTTTGTAAATCCCAAAAGTGCTTTCTTTCAAGAGGCAACTGGACTTTGCTTTTCCTTGAAGACCTTTCACTTCTCATCCAAGAAACTTCATTGAAGTTTTGTTTCTTGGATGAAAAACAAAATGTCTTCAAAGAAAAACAAGGAAGTCCAGTTGCCTCTTGAAAAAGCACCTATGGGACAACCATGACCTGGATGACTGAGAATCCCCATAGATAAGTCACAATGGTCTGGTTCAGGCAAGCAAAGTTTTATCAACTCACTGTCATCTTCTCAGGTTTTCTTGGTAACTGTAAATGGATCTGTTTTCCCATCAGGCACTTTGAGATTCCTTCAGTGGCTGAAGCAACCCGCCTTTTCTCAGTCCCAGATTTTATAGGTGATGCCTGTAAGACGTTGGCCTCACGCATCCGGGGAGCTGTGGCTGCTGTCACCTTTGATGATTTCCATAAGGTGAGCTTAACTTTAGCTTCTCCTCCATGACTGTTGTCCCACCAGCTCCTCTGTCATTTATGTGTAAATCCCTATTTCCTTTTAAACTTGGTATACTGCCCTTCAAAACCAAGAGTTAAACATGCCGCGTCTCTTCCTTGTGGTTTTGTTTATCCATGACCGCAGATTGGAGAAGGTGAGAGGTGTGACTAGGGAGATGTTCCATATCTTCAGTGTTCAGTAAACTTTTCTTGAGACTTGGGCATTGTAGGGGAAATCCGATGTCTAGTGGTTTTCCAATCCATAGAGACAAAGCAAAACGTTTTCACTTATTATACAGATAATACAGACACTTATTATACAGATGTTCCTATTTGTTTTCGAAAGCTATTTGGTTTGCCTTGTGTTGGTTTCATTGGGTATTTGATTTTTATTGATTTATTTTTCATTTTTAATATACTACAAATTAAGAAAACAATCTTTAAGCTTAAAAAGATTAAAAGACAAGTAAAAGGGGAAAAAATCAATCCCAAACAAACTAAGAAAGAAAAAAAGGGACAAATACTCTTATATGTTATCAATAGTGACAGATTTATTAGTAAATACACTAATTCTGTTTAATACAGACATGTCAAACACAAGGCCCGGGGGCCGGATGTGGCCCACGAAGTGGTTTCATGTGGCCCGCGAAGCCATCCTGGAAACAGTGAGGGAATGGCCCCTGCTGCCTTGGCCCTGGCCAGCCGGGAGCCAATGTACAATTTTGTGGTGGCCATCTTGGCACTTGCCCCGGTGGACTATGCCTTGGCACTTGCCCCGTTCCCACCCCCTTCTGCCAGAAACCCTCAGATCTCTCCCACTCCTGCCCAGGCCCCCACAGGCACCCTTGATGCAAATGATGTAGAACTGGCCACGCCCACCCAGTAGGCTACACCCACTCCATCCACACCCACCCAGTAGGCTGCACCCACTCTGGCCACACCCACCCAGCCCCCCAAGCGCAACCGCAATGCTGATGCGGCCCTCAGTGAAATTGAGTTTGACAATAGGTACAAAATATCACAAAATTTTGCCACATCTAGACTGCAAAAGCTAGACAGCCACTAGGTGGTAGCAAAGAGTTGAATGTTTATCACTTTGCTGCCATCTAAAGGATGCTTGATTTTTGTAGCCCAGGTATGTTAACCCAAGCAGAGGGCCCCAAAAGGAGCTGTCAGAGAAGAGTTGCATGGAAGGAACCACTTTGATGTAGTGGTTAAAGTGCTGGCCTAGAAACCAGGAGACTGTGCATTTTAATCCTACTTTAAGCATGAAAGCTGGCTGGGTGACTTTGGACTAGTCATTCCCTCTGAATCCACCTCACCTCACAAGGTGTTCTGGAGAAAATAGGTGTCTTATGTACAAAATAAAGGTGAGATGTAAACGAGGGGAGGGGAGGGGAAGAAAGGGGAATTAAGAGATGCTGCTTATAGTTTCTCTACTGCTGCTTCCAAGTCAGCTGTGGTCTCGGAAGCAACCAACTGCCAGTGCTGGAACAGAGGCCTTGGAAGAATGGAGGTTCTTGTCCTTAGACTGCTTTCTTCCTCTTATCTGTCTCTTCCTCCTTGCTGCATGTTGAGGAACAAGGGAACAGAGAATAGGCATTTGATTCCAGGACTGCAAAAATCCATTCAACTACAGAAAAGTCTAATTTGGTTGGAGTTTTGCCGCCCAAGTAAGATAAAATCAAGAGAGAAAGACTTGTGGGGTCCTTGATGCTCTCTGAGCTTGGTTTTTTTTCTTGCAGAGAAAGACTTCCAGGTTGGAAATGCAGTGACCTGAATGCTGGAGGAGAAATGTACTTTAGGTCAGTGTTTCTCAACCTCAGCAACTTTAAGATGCGTGGACTTCAACTCCCAGAATTCCCCAGCCAGCATAGCTGGCTGGGGAATTCTGGGAGTTGAAATCCACAAATCTTCAAAGTTGCCAAGCTTGAAAAACATTGTTTTAGATTATTGTGAGGGAAGTCACTGTGAGGTGAAGTGAAGACAGACTTTTTGAGGAGGTTAACAGTTAATATTCTATTCTTGAATGATCTTACTTAAATTGATGTTCCTAGAACTCAAATCGTCTGATCTGTGCTGCTGTCTTTGGGTTTGATGGAGAAGGGACCCTGCGCAACTCCTTACGCTTTTCCCCAAACGGCCTAGTCATCAGCAGCGTTGATATTCAAAGTGTGGAGCCAGTGGACCAACGGACACGGGATGCCCTCCAGCGCAGCGTGCAGCTCGCCATTGAGATCACCACCAACTCTCAGGAAGCCGCTGCTCGGTAGGGAGCAACTGGGGTGGGAAGCAACCAGGTTCCTCCTATTCACTTGATATCATTAACGATATGTGTAACTTGCCCCAGAATCTCTGGGCAATTTAAATTTGACTTTTATTTCACTTTTATTACTGACAAGTAACTCAAGGCAGTGAAATAGCTAACATTCCTTCCACCTCCTATTTTCTCCACAACAACAACCCTGCAGGGTGGGGTGGGCTGAGAGAGAAAGCGATTGCCCTAAAGCAGTGTTTCTCAACCTTGACAATTTTAAGGCATGTGGACTTCAACTCCCAGAATTCCACAGCCAGCAATGCTGGCTGTGGAATTCTGGGAGTTGAAGTCCACATGCCTTAAAATTGTCAAGGTTGAGAAACACTGCCCTAAAGCCCACCTAGCTGGTTTAATGACTAGAACCCACAGTCTCCTGGTGATGGTTTCCCCAAGGAGGGGATGACAAGGGTGGGTGATCTCTTCAGATTGCAGGGAAAGGTTAACAGAGAACCTGCATTTATACTATGGTGGTTATAGGTGCTTAGTGAGCATAGACTATAGCAGTGATGGCGAACCTTTTAGAGACCGAGTGCCCAAACCCACTTATGCCCAACCCTAAACCCATTTATGTTCTCCGGGTGCCGGGTGGGCGTGCCCCATTGTATGGGTGTGGCCCATTGGGTGGGCGTTGCCAATTGGGTGGGCGTGGCTGCGGTGGTAACGGCAAACTGGGTGGGACTAAAAAGTTCAATCAATCAATTTCAACTTTGCGAGATTTTTTTTTTCCCTGAGAAGTTGAAATTGATTGATTGATTGAACCTTTTTTTTTTTTTTTTGCACATGGTGGCGGAGGCCTAAAGCGAAAAGGTTTTATAAAACCCAGCTGAAGGCCTAGGACTGGGGCGATGGTGCGCGTGCCCACAGAGAGGGCTCTGAGTGCCACCTGTGGCATGCATGCCATAGGTTTGCCACCACGGGACTATGGGTTTCTACCTCCAGCCAGGGAAATGAAAGGGATCGCTGAAGGTTTTAGGAGCTACCAGGAAAAAAGAAATTTTGATACAGAGGGCACCCCTCCTTTTGAATAAGCAAAACCACAAATATGGAAAAGTTCTTGGTTTTGGTCACTGTTTTACTTTCCTTGGCTTGTGAAAGGGTCAGATATGAAGATATGTGACAAACACCATTTCTGTGACTTCCGAAATGTCTGCTCTTGCTGACCTAATTCAACTGCAGCTCTATCACTTTAAGGACAGTTTGAAATGCCTAAGCTTTTTCTCTATGGCCATTCAAATTTCCAAGGCTGTTGCTGTAAAGGAATGTAGTCTGGATTCCCAGGAGGGAGGGGGTGCATTCCCGAGGAACAAGCGACCACACAGTTTTGACAGTGAGCGAAAGAGGGTGAAGATGGCTCCTCCTTAACAGTTCCTAGAGTGTATGTTTTATGTGGTTGGTAGCCTGCTCTAGTTTGGCAAGATTTTATCTAGAGGTGAGGAACAATAAAGAAATCTGCTCGGAAGAATCACAACATGTCTTCCTTGGTTTTTGGAGTCCGACCATTGCTTTCAAATCATCAAACAACCTACAGAATTCTCACTGATCACTTACAGTGGTACCTTCGGTACTCATTGTTAATTGGTTCCGGGAGCTGCGATGAGTACCAAAAATGATGAGTACCAAACAAATTTTTCCCATAAGAATAATATAGTGAGTCACAAAGCAGCCAACACTGAAAAGTTCTAGCTTGGGGGTGAGGTGCCAAACCAACAGTGAGTATTGGGACAAAATCTTCACATCAAAATGTGATGATTACCAAATTCGATGAGTTTCAAAGCAGTTGAATACCAAGGTACCACTATATTCTTCTCAAGCTTCTTGTTTACTCAAAAACAAAGAAAAATGGAAACAGCCTGTTCTTTCCTTCCTGACAAGCTCTCTTCTAGTTTACACCTGGAGAATGCTTTTGATGGATCTTAGGTAAGCTTGTTTCCCTTTTTGGTGTTTGTTTCCCCTGATCCACTGGCATCCTCTCCCTCTCCAGACATGAGGCAGAGAGGCTGGAACAAGAGGCCCGAGGTCGTCTTGAACGGCAGAAAATCCTTGATCAGGCTGAGGCAGAACGAGCCCGGAAGGAGCTGCTGGAGCTGGAAGCACTGTGGTGAGTGTGCAGGGTCCAGGTTTTAAGGAAGAACTATGGACATTTGTTCCAAACTTACTTCTTTCCTGCTCTCTGAGGTCCCAGGCAGGGCTAGCTAAGAGATGGACTCCTTAAATCTGGAGATTGGGAAGGCTGATCTAGCCTTTGATTGCATAGTGCAGGGGTAGGCAACCTTGGCTCTTTTATGACTCGTGGACTTCAACTCCCAGAATTCCTGAGCCAGCCATGCTGAGGGGAAAGGGAGAGGTTTCCAAGCTGAGCCATGCTGGCTCAGGAACTCTGGGAGTTGAAGTCCCCGAGTCATAAAAGAGCCAAGGTTGCCTACCCCTGGCCTAGTGAGATGCAGTTTCTAAAGGTTCTTCTTCCACTTTCGTATCTTTCCAGCACGGCTGTTGAGAGCACAGGGGCAGCCAAGGCAGAGGCCCAGTCCCGAGCAGAGGCAGCCCGAATTGAAGGAGAAGGAGCTGTTCTGCAGGCCAAGCTGAAGGCTCAAGCTACTGCCATAGAGACGGTGAGTCCTGCCAGTCCTCCCATAAACTTTTCGAGGCTAACTTGATAGATGATTGATGATAGTTGCTTGTCAGACTAAGAAGAACATGCTGAATTTTAAAGTCTTTAGATTGCATCCATTGTTCTATATGCAGATAAATTTTGCTCATAGAATGGGTATCTTAATAAACTTTAGGTGGGAAAAATAAAGGCAAACTAGAGAAGACCAATCAGCTGATATAACTTCTCTAGTAGGGAGCAAGAGAAAAAATGGTATGCAATAGTGCAGTATAGATTGTTGCCGGAGTATTTAAGAAGTCACATTGGTAGCTACTTTTCTTCCACTCTGATGTTTGGATCCGGCCTGTGTCCAAGATGCAGCCTGTCCACCATCCTCTCTCCCTGCCTTATTCTCTAAACTTTTCCAGGAATCAGAACTGCAGCGTCTTGCACAAGCCCGGGAACAAGAGCTGCGCTTTGCCAAAGAGCAAGCCGAGTTGGATGTGAGCCTGACAGAAGCTATGGCTACTATTGAAGTTAAGAAATTTGAAACTGTCATCAAATGCATTGGAGCCAACACTATCCGCGACATTGCAGTGGCTGGGCCAGAGATGCAGGTGAGAAGCAGAGAAAGGAAGAGGGAGGAGGAGAACATTGGCCTTCCAAATAATGGGTGTGCTTAAACTCAAAGTTTACTCATTTTGAGTTAGAATGCAACAGGTACTAGGGGGATGTGGACTGTGGCTTCTAGTCTACAAAAACAAAAACAAAAAAAAAAACCCACTGGCAAGTGAGGTCAGATCAGCCTTCCCCAGTATGGTTTTCCTCTAATTCTGGTTGGGAAATTCTGGAAATGTCAGTTTTGGAGATTCTCAGTCATCCAGTCATGGTTGTCCCAAAGGTGCTGTTTTTCAGGAGGCTACTGGACTTCCTTGTTTTTTCTTTGAAGAAGCTTCTTCAGCTCTGACTGGATGGTGGGAAATGGAAGGATTTATATTCCTTATAGACAGCTGGTCATTTGCATTCTTTTGGAAAGTCACTTGGGGGTTTATCTATGTCCTCAGAGTCACCTGAGTAGTGCAAATGGGTGTGGAGCCTTCTTGGCTGCAGGATGTTTTCTGCCCTGTGCCCCTTCACTGTTGAAGACAGGCACAAACTGTTGGGGATGAGTCTGTCTTGTCTGCATCTCAAACTGAAGCGCAAATGGTCATCTGCAATGTTTTCTGGAAATCCGTTCATACTCCCTCGCCATTCGAAGGGTGTTTATCCCAAAGTGCACCGCAAAATGTCTATGGAGATTCTCAGTCATCCAGGTCAGGGTTGTCCCAAAGGTGCTTTTTCAGGAGGCAACTGTCAATTCTACCATATCTGGAGAACATCAGGCTGGGCCAAATGGCATGAAGACCCAAGGAAGGGGTGAACATTCCTACTAATCTAAGCACGGGGCACAGTAAACTATAGGTAGTCCTCGACTTACAACCACAGTTGAGTCCAAAATTTCCATTGGTAAGCAAGACAGCTGAGTTGTGCTCCATTTTACGATCTTTTTGCCACAGTTGTTAAGTGAATCACTGCAGTTGTTAAGTGAATCTGGCTTCGCCCTCCCATTGACTTTGCTTGTTAGAAGCCAGCTGGGAAGGTTGCGAATGGTGATCACACGACCGCAGGATAGTACAGCTGTCATAAATACATGCTAGTTGCCAAGCACCCAAATTTTGATCACGTGATCATGGGGATGCTGCAACGGTCATATGAAAACTGGTCATAAGTCATTTTTTTCCAGCTTCAAATGGTCACTAAATGAATGATTATAAGCCGAGGACTACCTGTACAAGAGCAGGAGCAGCCAGCTATATATCTCAGATGCCACAATGTGATAGCAAATTAGAAATATTCATCTGAGATTTTGAAACCCCGATGCGTGACTTTTTGCTTTCTATTCCTTGCAGGTCAAATTGCTCCAGGGTCTTGGAATCCATTCCACCCTCATTACAGATGGTTCTTCTCCTATTAACCTCTTCACAGCTGCTGGAGGACTGCTGGGGATCATGCCCAAGCCTTTGGAGGCACGAAATCAAGATTAACACTCTCTATTATTACTTAATGAGTGCCTTACAAAAACATGCCGGGGGACCATGTACTTCCCCAGAATGTGTGAATCTTTTGATGGGGCAAAGTATAAAATAAACATATTTTCTGTTGCATAGCATCCTCTGCTTTGCTGTTAATTTTTTGGGGAATGATTGTGCCTGGGAACAACGATAGAACCTGGATAGGTGGGGTGGTGGAATCTTGGCTGTTGTGCTGGAAAAGTCAGCTGGAATGTGAGGAGAGAAGCATGCACTGTGAGGTCATCGGGTATGTGTGTTTAGATGGGAGAGAGAGACTGATCCATTATGCCAAGCCAAGTGCAGTCTTTGTTTCTCTTCATCTTAAGCAATTTTGCAAATCTCTCCAAGGAAAAATGGATCGATCAACTAATGGAAGGTGAGCCCAGGCCCTCCTGCCCAGCTTTCTCCATTTATCTAAAATTTAATATTATCCACCTTAATTCTACAGTTACATCTACTGCAAGAAAAGTAAATCTAGCTTGGTGTGCTTAGTTCAAGCACAACAGATCTCGGGTTAAGTTCCTGCATCTCTGGTTAAAACTGGCCATATGTGGTCAGATCTGCTACCATCTAGTGATCATCCATGTTTTTGCAGACAAGCTATTGTAACTAATTAAAAGGAAACTTCAATCTTAGTTTGGGATTACGTATATAACACCAAGCCATGGTTTGTTCAACTATGGTCTGGCAAAATAACACAATCTCAGTCAACATACCAAACTAGAACCAAATCATCCATATGAGGAATGAACCCAGACTCTAAAAAGGTGAAGTCAAGATTATTTTATTGTTAACGAATCCACTCTTTGAAGTTTTCAGCATAAATTTCAGCAGCTTCTTAGAGCCTGTGTGCATCTGAAAAAAAAAAATCTGTTCACAATATAATTCCACAAATCTATATGGATGCGGCTTTTATCTCAGAATTGTGTTTAGGTAGCGTCTCTAGCATAGTGTGAAAAGGCTAACCTCAATGCTAGACCAAAGTTGATTCTAGTTCTGTGTTAACACTATTTAAAAGCGATTAATGCCTTTTTAAACTACAAAAGAGATGTTGAAATGACTTGGGAAATTTCAAGAGCTTACTATCATAACAGTATCCACATATAGTCATACAAAAAAAAATATTTTGATAAACTCCAGCACTTTTTCATTAGTTCCTGGCTATATGCATTGCAGTCAGAAAACGTTTGTTCATTTTATAAACAAAGGCCTGGGGAACAGTTAATTGATCACACAATTGATGGGAATTGAATGCTTAAAAGAGACCTTCCATAAAATGTTAAAGGAGAAAAGGTAGATAGAAAAGTTATGACTGAATGTAAGGATGGTTACGTTTGAAGAATAAAGTGATTATCCACCAGCTCTGAAAAGAGATATAAAAGTAAGGGAAGGAAGATAACTTTGTCCTTGATCAGTAATAAGATGAAACCAATTTAAGAAGTATTAACTTCCCTTTGACATCAAGAATGCTTTCCTTGTTCTCTGATGGATGTGCTTCTTATTTCTTTGGCCCACAGCACCGGCAGAAAAACTAGAAGATGCCAATGAGACAATGGAGTCCTTATCCCACGAGGCACTCTGGTTTGACTACCCTGACTCCGATAAAGAGAAGATCCTAGCTGTCTATAAGTTTATTGGAGAAAAGCCCGAATTTATTGCTCCAAGTGAGATGTCAGTTTGTATTCACCTCTAGGGCAGTGTTTCTCAACCTCGACAACTTGAAGATGGGTGGACTTCAACTCCCAGAATTCCCTGGCTGGCTGGGGAATTCTGGTAGTTGAAGTCCACCCATCTTAAAGTTGATAAGGTTGAGAAACACCGTTCTAGGGATTGCCAGAATCCCCTCTGGGAAGACTGAAATCAGGCAACAGGCAACACTTGAAAACTATAGCATGGGGCTAAAAGAAGCATACGTTGCCCAGGCGTGTGATGTATCTTCCCTTATGTTACAGCTTTCATTCCTCCCTCTCCCCCCTCCTCCACGTTGGGGCTTCTAAACCTGTTTATTAGAAAAGGAAGTCCAAGGGAGGATCACTTGCTTGACGCAACACATAGATTATGCCTCCAAATCCCTGCCCTGGCTTTTTTACAGGATTCCTGCTTGTTAGATCCTAAGCCAGTAAACAACCCTCCCAGCTTATTTCTGAGCAGTGGGCTTCCTCAGTCTCTGCCAGAGTTGTGGTGGCCCACGAGAAGCCCCCTTTCTCTCTCTCTCTCTTTCTTCCAGGCGTCTTCCCTCAGCTGCTGCGCTACATCTTGGTGGGATCCATTCTCCTCATCCTGCTGTTCTTTGTTTTTCAGATTGTCCAAGCGTAAGTGTTGCACCGGCCCACATCTTTTAGGCCTCATCTGGAACCCCTTTCCCTGGTGCTCTCAGGAGCCACATTTTGTGCCCACCCATTTCCTCCCGGATCTGATTTCCCATTCTTCCTCATTCCAGGCTTTTCCGTAAACAACACAACTAGAGAAGACAACTAGAGTTCCTGAGCCAAACGGCTTGTCCTCTGCTCTTTTCCACTGTCCTTCCTGTTAAGTAAAAGGCCTTTGAATTTGTATGCATTTGCAAGATATTCATTGATGAAGAAACAATGCATCAGGCTAGAAAGTGGGAGACTCTGAATTCAAGTCCCACCTTAGCCACGAAAGCTGGCCAGGTGACTTTGGGCCAAATACCGGGAGACAGTGAGTTCTAGTTCCACCTTAGGCATAAAAGGTGGCTGGGCCAGTCCCTCTTTCTCAGCTTGAACCCACCTCACAATATTGTTGTGGGGGAAAATAGGAGGAGGAAGGTGTGCTGGATAGGTTTGCCACCTTGTGTTATTTGTAAAAATAATAAAGGCAGGATACAAACCAGTAAAGAAATAAAAGAAGATTAAAGAAGGAGAGTTGTAAAGACAGCTATGTGGTCCTCAAAGGTTTTAAGGAAGGAGTGATACAAATACTGTACAGGGCTCGGCAATACACACGGGGCTGGGGATTTGGAATTAATAAATGACACACACAGCCCCTCTGCTGACAGTAGATAAAGGCTCCTTTAATACTTGGCAGACCTTGGGTTATAAATACATTCCCCCCCTGCTCTTTATTTACAGCTAGAGTCCTGCCCTATGAAGTGAAGAAGGGTCCAGGAGTGAGCAGTGAAGGAATTCTGTGCTGAACAGAGGAAGATGTCAAGAGGAGAGGAATATGTGTTTCCCCTGCTTGGTTATTGCTATGGGGAGGAGGGCACATGTTTTTTAAGCAGCACCCCTCTGATCATCTTGCTACAGAGGATAAATATGTGTGTGTTTGTGTGTGTGTGTGCTCACACCCACACCCACATATGAATGAATTAAATATCCTGGGTAGATGACATTCCAGTAATACTGAAGACCATGTATTTTACTAGCATCCAAAAAAATGATAAGTGTTTCCTTATTGGTTATTCTACAGATATAACTAATTCTGCTGATAGGTCCCCTATTACTGCCTGGGGTGAGGGCAAGCCAAACCCAGTATTATTTCTCCATCGTGTTTACATGTGATAGAGATTCTGCAACTCTAAAAAAAATAGGATTGGGGGGAATTTGACTTAATCTTGCTATCCAACGGTATAACCCCTGCTTTCAGGTAACAGTATCACCCCATGCAAGCCACATGGGTCTCTCCTTGGCTAGCAATGCTCAGAAAATCTTAGGTCATCTAATCATAGTCTAGCAAGCAATAGCCACTACGCATTCTTCAGCTTGGCAGAGTCCTGATGCATTAGAAACCTAGTTTTGCTCTACAGGCCCACATCTGGTTGACTCTTGATCTACTTGTGCCCCACTAGCCTGAATATCTCCCAACACAGATAACCTCAGTATTCCCATTGGTTTAGGACTACACTCTGGTTCAAACCCTACCCAACTCATAGACATTTCAAAATACTGACAGCATTGCAAATTTAGAGGGTTTCCTTTGACAAAGGATTTCCACATAGCAAACCAAGAAATATTTCGGTTTTATGCCCTCTAAAGACTTCCTTTGAGACATCCCCCCTTCCCAGACCCTCCCATTTCCCTTTTGGCCTAGGAGCCAGCTTCCCCACTCCCTCCCATCACCCCAATAAATAAGTCATAGGGGAAAAAGGCGGCTTGTCCGTTTGCAGCGGTGGGAGGGGGCAAGAGAGCCATTAGTCCAGTGCCTGGGTATCCATCCTGTGCCCGTTTCGCACTACTTGATCCTTGGTGGTACCCCGGGCACGGAAGACCCGGAACGCTCCACGGCAGATGAGGCCAAACCAATATATCTGGGGAGCCATGAGGACGGCCGATCCCAAGTTGTACTCGGCAGGGATGGAGAAGGGTACACGGTAGAAGGGCAAGCCAGCATACTGCCCATATACCCAGTACATATATGGAAAGAGCAGGATTCGGCAGCAGAAGAATGTGAGTAGCATGGCCATGCCATTCACCTTGTGGAGAAGAGTGTGCTGCTGCTTGTACTGCAGAGAGAGGGGGGGGAAAGAAAGTTGAAAGGCAAATTTAGGTCGGGTTGGCTAACACTTCCACTTCTCTCTCTAGCACCAGGTGAGCCTCTTCTGCCTTCCCATTAGGTCTTTATTTAGATACGTACGGTCTCCCAACTTACCCTAGCAACTCTGGGCATCTAATACATTATATTACTGTATAAAATGCCAACAAACCAAACAACAAATATATAAAACCTATACAGATAGTCCTCGACTTACGACCGCAATGGGGACCAGAATTTCTTTTGAAAAGCAAGGTGGTTGTTAAGTGAGTCACACACTCATTAAGGGAATCTCACTTTACTTATCGGAAGCCAGCTGGGAAGGTTGCGAATGGCGATCACGTGACTCCAGGACTCTGCGACTATCATAAATACATGCCAGTTACCAAGAGCCCGAATTTTGATCATGGGACTGTAGGGGTGCTGCAGTAGTAATTTTTTCAGGGCAGCAGTAACTTTGAATGGTCACTAAGTCAATGCAGGTAGTCCTCGACTTACAACAGTCCATTTAGTGACCATTCCAAGTTACATCATTGAAAAAAGTGACATGACCTTTTTTCACTCTTACAACTGTTGTAGCATCCTCG